CTTTTTTTTACTGACAAATTGGCTTTTAACGTAGATTACAGTCTGATGATAAATATTCTGAAATTAGTACTTGAAGCCCAAATCGCCGGAAGAATATGTGCATCAGTTTTCAAATATTTATTATTTACTACGTAATTTCTAAATTGAACCACTTTCACTTTCTTAGGTACCAATGTATCTGTTTTGACAACTACATAGGTAATTAGATGAAATAATAAGTATTATTAATTTCAAAAACAGGAGTTTAAAGAATTAGAAGGAGGTAGTCCGGGCCGAGTTAAACGGTCAAGCTTATTCCAGTGGAAGCAATAAGGAGGAATATTTTTCCTTTAGGCTCAGCTGATATGCTGTCTCTAGCACTACAACCCATGAAACTGTGGTAAAAAGCATGTTTTTATTTACATGCTTGTGAAACGAGACAATTAACAGAGACATTGAAGAGAGTCGATATGTCGCTATGAGAGAAGATATGTCGCTGAACTAGATGTAATAAAGTATGAGAATGGAAGGTACAGTCATGGATGGCATACAACGAAAGCAGCTCAAATGGTACGAACATGTCCAATGAATGAAAGACAGTAGACTACCGAAACAAGTACCTGTATGAACACCTACAGGAATCCAGAAGAGAGGACTACCTTATAAAACACGGATGGAAAGAATAAGAAACTAAATGAGCTCGAAAGAACTTAAAGAAAAATGGAACAACCGAATTGAATAAAAAATGGACGTCGGAAGACCTTTTATAGAGATTATATCATAATATAGGTACATAATTATTATATCATATTATATATATTTATATAATATAGTATATACACGATACTGAAGGAGATGACAATCTACATCGCCAACTACACAGTAAAGACCCAACAATAATAGAAGTGTCAAATGCCGTCCCAAAACTTAAAAACAATAAAGCCACAGGAATCGATTAAATATGTTGGGAAATGTATAAAAAAAAAGGTGGTGGTTTTTATATGGCAGAATGAATTGGTACTAGAAGAGTGGGTCAATGAAATAATATACAAATCATGAATGTGTTGCTTGTGTGAGTCCATTTTAAATAGGTAAAGAAATAATAAATAAGACTTACTCCCAATCAATTTAATTTAACTTGTAGAAAGCGAAACCGATCGTCTGAATAGTCAAATTAAATTGATTGTGAGTAAGTCCTATTTATTATTTCTTTACCTATTTAAAATAATATACATTGCATAAAAAGGGTGACCAACTGGATTGAAAGAACTATAGAGGCATTACTCTGTTAGCGGCTGCGTATAACATCTTCGGCAATGTATTATTTGAAAGACTTAAACATTTTACAAAGGATATTGTTGGTCAATATCAATGCGGATTTTCTGCTGCAAAATCAACTATACATCAAATTCAAGTACATGAGCAGATTCTAGAAAAGTCACTAGAATATAACATAGATACACACTATCTTTTCGTCGACTTCAAGGCAGTATATGACAGTGTTAAAAAAACTGCAATATATAATGCAATGATAGACTTTGGTTGGGATCCCACCGAAGTTAGTTAAGTTGACCCAAATATCAATGCAAAACGTAAGCTCGTGTGTTAGAATTGAAGGAAAAAACTCCATGTACTTTGACGTTAATGATGGTCTAAGAAAGGGGGAGGCGCTGGCGTGTCTCCTCTTTAATATTGCCTTGGAAAAGGCAACCAGAAAATTAAATATAATGAATGTAACTATTTTTAATAGAACCATGAGAGACAGGTGTAGTGTTTTACAAGGCTTTCAGACGCGGCAAGTGAATTGGGACTTGTGGTAAACGTATGATATATCTAATAGCCATCTTCATGTATTTGGAAACTATTCGAATTGCACAGATTATTTTTGTCACAGAAAATCATCAGAAACAGATTATACAATACCAATGAAAGAACGCAGCCTCTTAAAAGATATTAACTCATGTGCAGAAAGAGTAAAATTTCATGCAAATAGTCTCATAAATAATATGAGTACCAATTATACCAAAAACAGAATTTTGGAAGAAAATTATTTTTTCACGAATTGTTTAAACAAACTAGACTATTTATTAATTAAGTAATATATAAATAAATTACATATTTGTAATGTACATATAATTTCATACAGATTAAAAAAGAATGATCAAAATCCATTCAGTAGATCCAGAGATATAGAAAGTTTTATTAGTTTGAAATTGTTCGGTACTTAAACTCCATTTGTATGTTCTTCCTATTGATCATTTGAATTACATTTTTGAAAATTCGTAGAAGGTCCTGTAAAGGTACAATGTTAGTACAAAATCATCATCATTTAACCTGGATCTATCTACTGCTGGATATAGGTCTCCCTAAGTCTTTTCCATGTATTTCTGTTTTGTGCTGTTTGCATCCAATTTTTGTCGATCCGTTTTATGTCATCAGACCATCTTGTTGGTGGACGACCTCTACTTTGCTGTGCTTCTTGTCTCGGTCTCCACTGTATTATTCGCTGTGTCCATCTGTTATCCGACATTCTAGCTATGTACCCCGCCCAGTTCCACTTAAGGGTCATAATTCTTTCTATGGCATCTGTCATTCCTATTCTCCGTCTTATTTCATTGTTCGTGATCCGATCCCTACGAGAAATGCCTAACATCGATCGTTCCATGGCGCTTTGGGTAACACAAATTTTATTTCTTACTTTCTTGGTTGGTGTTAATGTCTCTGCACCATATGTAAGTACTGGCAACACGCAGTGATTAAAGACTTTTCTTTTAAGACACTTTACTTTTTACGCCCATCGCTTGAAAGAGTTTTTTTTTTTTTTCTGTAATCGTTGATTTTTTTTTTTCCCCTTTCTGTGTTCAGTAATAATCGAGAAAAGCGTGTTCAAACTTTGAAGAAAATTGCTAAAAAATACTAAAATCTAATAGTGAAACGTGTTACTCATCATTGTTGCTTAGGTTCACTTTTATCGCCTTCGTGACTTCAAATCTCATTTGCGTACGGTCAGTTAGTTCGTGTTAAAACTAATTTGAATGGAGAGTAATGCATTTGTTGCCCGTTGGCCGACTCCACTGAGTAAAGATAGTCTCGAGTAAGCAGTGTAGAAATGTAAGTGATACGCCCATTTCAAATCGCAGTGTGCTTTAACTGCTAAAACAGCCTTAACTAACACAAAACGTTCAAAATAAATATTCCAATAAATATAAATAATCAAATTCCATATATATTACTGCAAAATATTTGGGTGTTGTCCAATAAATATAAATAATCAAATTCCATATTCAAATACTACAAAATATTTGGGTATTACTCTGAGCTCATGTAAAGAAGAAAAGAAAATAATAATTCTGATTGAAATACCTCCCTCGAAAGGTATATATAGCATTTTTCATTTAAAAAAGCTTGCACGTCATTCAAGATTTACGTCGTCAGAACCCCACAGCGTTACCAAAATATCAGAATAGTTAGTAAGTGAGTAATTTTTAAAATAACAACTATTTGACAAAGTATTATATTGACAGTAAATACACTTAGTTTTAAAACTACTGCAACACAGTAAAATACATAGGAAAACATTTAAATACAAAATTATATATTCTAAATTTTTAACTTTTTTTTTGGGGCTTTAATAGTGCAAACGTCACGCCATTATTTCTTGTTCAAAATAATCTATCTTATATGAAAGCTTATCAGCTTTCTACAGACTATTTATTTGTTTTGGCATATCACAATTACAATACACAACAATAATTAGTTTTTAAAGCTAATAATCTAAATTTAATATATACTTATAAATACAATTTAATAATATATAGTATATTATGATCAAATTGTGTAAAAAATCAAAACATAAACAAAATTTATACTCTAAGAAAGTGGCAACACTTAATACACTTTTGCCACCCGCTGAACTGTCAAGAAAATTTGAAGTATTACAGTATCAGTTGCGTACAATTGTCGAATATATTTAATTAAAATTATTATTTTGTGGAATATTAGAGTTAAATAGTTATTTCATAAAATTTATATTATTAATAATAACAAATGTTTTTGGTTATTTAATCAATATAATTCTAAAATTTCCAATATAATAATAATTACATTTTTCTGATTATTATCATGTTGACGCCTTTGAAAGATCGAGCAGTTCCATATGGGTTTGGTATTATTAGCTGTGTTAGGAAAATTTGAATTCTAAGGTTAATGTTCTGGAAATTTTAAATACAAGTGACGTCACTTTGTAGAAATCGTGACGTGCAAGTGTTACTTTCAAAAATTTCTTCTTACCTACCGGTCGGCGAGAATCCAGAAACTATCGACAAGGACAGCCTGTACTGACCGAGAAAGAGTAACATTTAGCAGAACTTTTTTAAAAAGTTTATACCAAATGGCTGCTTTTGTGTTACACTTTATGTTAAAAATAAAAACAGATTCGGAAAGTGGGTCAAATTCTGTACTGCCCTATTTAAAAAAAAAAATTTTTGACGTTTATTTTAACCAAAAATATTTAATAAAAAAAATATTGTTTAAACAATTTATTAATTTACATCCAAATAGTACACTAGAACTTTTTAAGACCTTTCATATAAAAAAAGAATCATCTCGATATCTGATAAAAAAGAATCTATAAAAATATCCCTAAATTTTTGCACCTGGTGTAGTCCATATAGCACTAATAACGTGATTTGTGGTGTAGTGCCATAATTTACTATTAATACGTAGGTATATTTAGATTCCATGTCTATACTATACTGACATCTCGTGTTTAAATATGTGACTAAAAATCCGGAGCAGAAAACTTTTTTCCTTTGGGATTCTTTTTTTCTGGAAATACTTTAGGGTCAAGAAACTGTATTTTATTTATTTAATAATTACTCATACATACCCATGAATTATATGAAAATATTATAACTAAAACCTCGAGAAACAAAGTTGAAAGTAATGTTTGGTACGGTGCCAATTTCCATATTTTTATCGTTGTGAAATGTCAAGTTAGTTACTTTACATCGATCGAACAGTCTATTTGAAGCTTGTTTATTGGTATTGTTTGTTTGTATTACTACTTTCACATGGGAAGTACCATGGTTGTAAATATAGTTTATAAGAACACGAATTGTGTTTAAAATTATGTAAAGAAAATTGTTATAATAGCCAATTAATGTCAGGTATGTACTCGTAAACATTCTAATAAATATTTTTTCGCAGATCATGCAATAGTTTTACGTTTCTAGTAAGGTAGTTTTTGAAAAAAAACTAATTTTTTATACAGGAGTCGTTTTGACAGAATCAAAAATTTTCAAAAGTAGTCATACTCGTTTCAGTCTGATCAGTCTTAAAAAAATTCAAAAGTAGTCATATTCGTGGCAAAGCAATTTTGTAAGGTATACCGGGGTCGGGGTCAGTTAAACCGTGAATTTAAGTCTGTTTAAAGTGTATTTACCAAAAAATATGTCTCTAAATTTGACTTTTTTTATTAAGTTTACTGAAGAGACAATAACAACTAACTGCTAGCTACACAGTGAGCAAGAACAAAATATGAGCGAATTCCAATTTTTTTTTTGCTTTTTTATTTTTGAAGTCCATGAGTTACTTTTACCCCTACCCAGTGGTGTGGGGTAAGTGTAATCTGAGGCACATTTTTACTGTCAAAGTGTAAGCAAATTTACCGGGGTAAGAGTAAATAATTAGCCTTGATATGTGCTACAAAAAAAATTATTTGCAATAGGAAATACATTACTTAACCCATATTCTATGTATCAAATGTAACGTTTAACTCTATTTTCCCTGTTTTATTTACTGTAGGAAAGGGTAAGTCCATAAAAATCACATATTCATTGATTACGTTTTTGTCTTCTACAACAGACCAATAAAATGTGGATGTCTTACTAATTCACTGACAACATTTTGCCTCAGCATGGTTCTTTTTCTGTTAGCTCACCTACATACACTTAAACCTGTTTCTTCTGTTTAACCAAAATTCAATCATCCACGTTTATTTTTGTAAAGTCATTTGATTGAGAAACTTAATTTCTTCATTCTTTTCTTTGATTTCATCTATGGTAGAATTGCTTAAAATGCTTTATTTATCTTCATTACTGTCGCCATCACCACTGTCTTCTTCAAATAGGGATTTCTTTTCCGTCGACTTTTTCTGCTTGTTTTTATTTTTGTTTCGAATATTCTCTTTTCTGACTTATCATCTTCGCTACTATTATCTCCAGCTATTTTTTAACATTTTTAATTTGACGGGTTTTTCAAGTCTATGGTTTTGGATTTGTTCCAGTTTACCAACAGCGTCTTGTGAAGTGATCATTTCGGCACCAACGCTAATTATTTTTCTTCCGGTAGTAGTTTTTGGTATTTATTTCATTTGCTCCAGCATCAACTCTTAAAACGTTTTCTGTCGATGGTTGAGGCTCCGCCTTCAGATACACTGACTTCGTTTGCGACACTGGTTGTTTTGGGTACTACGACTGTTTGTGGTTAACCTGCTGCATTATAAGTGGATACAGCTACATCTGCCTGACATTCTTAAAAAGTTCACCAACGTTTGAATACTCGTGGTTCATAACTTTTAATAGGTATTACAGCGTCGCAAAATAAAAAAAAAATTCAGCCCCTTCAAACCTAAGTTTGGACCAAATGTTGAACAATATCGAAGCAAAAACGGATTTGGGGAACTTATATCCATAATTCTTTCACTGCCACTCAATAAGTTCCTTCTCCCATTTTATTTTTAAATGCCCGAACACACTGAGATCAATCAGTTGAAGGATGTGGCTGGTGTGGAAGGAAGTTTAGAAATGTGTATGTTTTCTTGTCTTGCTATTTGAACAAATGAGATGCCAACATGTCCGGTCCTTGCTTATGTTAAAAAAAAATTGATTGTATAATAATTTTAAAACGTTTCTGCGTCTATCAAGCAATTTTTTTTTCTGGCCGAATATATTATCTCAGCATATTCATCTGTATTTTGCGAGCTATCAGTCGCACACATTCTTTCCTCTAAATATAATAATATTTTCTTCCCAGTCGATGATAACATTTCATAACATTAATTTTTGCATCATACTTCTCATAAGCCTTCATATATCCGCTTACCGTATATTATTCCAAAGGAACATCTATGTATTATTGAATGGTCTGTGATGCAGCAGAAATCATTACAAGTATGTAAATCAAATATATCCCTTAAGTGGTCAAGACGATTACTCAACCCTGGTCAGTAAATATTGTCACTTTGACAATCCTGTATAAATTTGTGGTAATGTGCGCTTTTACTATTATACTTTTGACAAAAATCAGGATCAACACCACATATGGAGATGTTGGCCTAATTTTGAGCATAAATGTTCCCTGATTGTCCCTATTCCAAGTAATGGATGATAACGTGGGCCTAGACTGAGATATAAGAACCTGCTAAAACATATATAGCGAATCACAACATTAGAAATAAAAATATTCAATATTGACGGACGATTTCTGAGTCATCTCTGCGTTACGAACGATATTTTCACAATTAGTAGCGAACTCAATCTTCTGACTTAACAAAATGATTTCGGAATTAAGAGAGGTCTCAGAAAATATATACTTGAAAACAAATAAAGTAGAGAAGTGGAGAAGTGATGAAAAGGGTGGGAGAATATATTTACTTGGGTCATCTAATAAAATTGAACAGAGCAAACCGACACGTGGAAATGGATCGAAGAATTGGCATGACATGGGCTGCCGTTGACAAACTAAGAATTGTCCTGAAAAACAATAATATTTCCATATATCTGAAGCCAAGAGTTTTTAACTTTTGCATTCTTCCAGTTGATGAAATACGGTGTAGAGAAAATTACGTTGACCATAAAGGAAGCCAACAAAATAAGAGTAACACAGCGTACAGTAAAACAACTTATGCGGGAAATAACTTCAAAAGATCGCGTCGGCAATGAAAAAATACGTAGAAGAACAAAAGTAGACAGAGGATGCATTCCAACGCGCTGCTTCATTGAAGTGATCTTGGGAAGGACATGTTGTAAGACAAAATTATACCAAGTGAAATAAACGCATCGTAAAATGGAGACTTATGTAAGAGACCTAATTAAGGTCAGGAAATAAAAATTTTATTATCCTCTTTTTATCGTTTCTCTGATGATTTGAATGTTAAGTTAAATATACCTGAATGCATGAATCATATATAAATCAATGCTCGAATATATAATCACAACTTTAGAAACAATGCCGCAAATTCTTATCGGTACGCAAAGCATGGGGATTCGAATTGTAGTTTGGGTCTTAGATTTCTCACCCCTATCCCAGCTAAAATGTACGGCATTCCAAAAATGTTAATTTATATACCGATTCAAAACTTTGTGTATGTTTTACGAAAATTAATATATTTCCCCGCTCCTGGTACTAATATTTTTATTAGTACAAAATTAAGTCATTATTTTTGTATTACCTACTGTTTTGTATAAAACTTAGAGGTCGCTGGTTAAATAATATTAGATTAATAATAGTGGAGTAAAAAATGCAATATTTTGTTTGTAAATAAATTAGCGAAAAATAGCAAATACAACTGTGATTAAATTACGAAATTATTTAGCCTTACTCATTATTGTTGTCTGTACAAAGAATGTAGACTTACCCTTTGGTTATATTGACGTCGTATTCTTAGCCAGTAGAATATCATTGGTGCCACGTCGGAACTCCCGGGAGGAACGCTGAGGCTCGATAGGGTGAGAACCGATAAACTGGGTGCGTTTCGTTCGCTGCCTTGTGATGAGGTGTGTCTTGAGACTTGAGATGGTCAGAAAAGAACCCTCTAACTGATCAACAACCCTCTAACTGATCAACTGTTGGGTGGTCAACAGCTCGTGGGGCAAGAGCATCCCATAAATCAACCCTATTGTAGGACGATTTTGAATGGCGATAATTTAAGTTAATTGTCACGGTAATACGAAACTTTACACTTGTTCCTATATTTGTGGCACAAAATACAAAAGAGAAAGCCAAATTCTCCGTACGTAAAACATAATAAATGAGATAGCTAGTTTAACAATTTTACGAAATAACAGGAAGCAATATATTTTAAAAAAGTCGTTAGAATACAGCATTGAATTAGATCATATTATAGTACACTAAAATAAAAATATTAAATGTAAAAATATGAAAAGAAATAGTACATACTTTCTCAAACACCTACCTAAGTTATAAATTCCGTATAAAAATGCCAAAAAAACTTTACCCCTTGAGTGGTAAGTTTATCTAATCTGTGACTCACATGTACCGACAAGAATTGACGACATAGTTTCTAAAATTGTTATTACATATTGTAGTATTGTTTTTTATGTGATTCATACTGGGCCAAATGACCCATTAAAAATCTTCCATGGGTTTGTAGACTAGTATATATTAGTAACATACCTTAAATTCTCCTTTGTGAGTAACAAAGCCAGAAATTGTAGTTTTTATTGTTTGCTTTCCCTTGCCATAATGTAATGTTTTTAAAATTAAGGTTGTTGTAGGTTATTCTCACGTATCAAATGTTCAGTGAAAAAATGCCACAAAAAATAGTTTTAGAACGATTTAACAGATTATATTACTTATTAATTATGTGAAAGCATACAAATTCAATCGAATGTATGGGTTCAATCTATAAATTATTATTAATTTTTAGCTGTACTATCTGACTCCAATATTATAATATATATATATATATATATATATATATATATATATATAAATATAATAAAAAGACAAAGTTGATAGGCTACTTTATCTATTTTGAAGACATTTCGCTTTCGTATTCTGAAAGCATCATGAGTTCATCTGAAAAGTACAATATGAGAACCACACAATCATGGAAAAGGTGTTACAAGTGTTACCTTAAAAAGACATGTAGCAGTCAATGATTTTAAAAAAGTATGTGAGTAAGCTCAAGTAAATGGACATTATACGGTAATATTGTATAAACAATCAATTAACTAACAACAATTAGCAACTTATTAAAAATTAGCACAGCAAAAGAACATGTGGTCTAATGTACATGTAATATTTTTTTTTAATTATAACATTAAGTATTAAATGAAGAACTAACAACATCATAAATTCACTTCCAACTATATGAGCAATATATATGGTTTGATTTTAACCATTGGTAGCATTATTAAAGAAA